ATATCCGCACCTAATATTTGAAATCACAAATTATATTCTACTATATAAAAGGGACTTTCTATTGGATATAATTTAATTTTATATTTTATTATGTTGAGCCATATACTTCAAGAATTAATGGATATAATTGGTTTATCTTATATTATATAATATCAAATTTTATTACTATGTAAAAAATACATAATATGTAAAAATATAGAATGTCAAATATGGAAAAAAATATATACTCATTCAAATTATTCAGATATCTCGTTTACCAAACAATCTTAATTATTCAGCAATAAGCTTTTAATACCACTCTTTAATTATTTAATTCAATAAGTTGTTGATTCTGATTCAGCATTCAACCCAAACAAATGACCCTTGAACAAATGATTCAAGAGTGTATCTGTAATTTTATCAATGTAATTATATCAAACATTACATATTCATTTTAAAATATGTAATGTTCGGTCAAAAATTCCCATTTAATGACTCGTGATACTTGCTCGGTCATTAATGCTCAATCCTCTGATCGGACTAAAGCAACGAATACTCTATTTTCCTATAAATTTTTGTACAAACACCTTGGAAGGGCATAGAAAAAATCCAATATAATCACACCTTCTCTGAATTGCCTACTTTTCATTTTTCACTTCTATCAACGTGTTTACTTTATCTGGAGAAAAATCGCCATAAAATTTATTTCTTTTATCAAATAAATTTTATTTTTTTGGTTATCAATTTTTTTTTTTTTTGAATTTTACTATAAATAATTTTAGGCTTCCTATAAAGGATGCGTTCAAGACTTCTTACCTTAGTATTGGCAATCAATTTTTTATTTTGCTATTTAAACGATAAAATTTTATATTTTTAACTAATTTCTAATATTTTAATCAGATAATAAAAAATAAATTGTGAAAATTATTTTTCAAAATTATGTTATTGTCCACAAATAAATGAAGCGTTAAATTTACTATCACGTTGCACTTTTCGAAAGAAAGAGTGTCACTATTTAATGGATAATTTGCTATATATATATATATATATATATGAATAAAATCTTTTATATTTTTAACTAATTTAATAATTATTAAATCAGATAAATAAAAAAATAAATTGTGAAAATTATTTTCATAAATTATGTTTATTGTCCACAAATAAATGAAGAAGCAGTTTAAATTTTACTATCAGACGTTGCAACTTTTCGAAAAGAAAAGAGTGTCACTATTTTAATGATGAAATTTGCTATATTATAATAATATATAAATAAAATATATAATTGCGTACAGTAAGTCAGTGAATATATATATATATATATATATATTGCGTACAGTAAGTCAGTGGACAATTAATTAATAGAGCCAATTATTTCATTACTTCTATAAGAAATTTAATACTCTTCGATCAACATATTGATTTTCTATATTTGGTTGTTATATTTCTATAAGAAATTTAGTGTTTCTTAATTACAAATTAAAGGAGGTTAGGGTGAGATTTAAACCCGTATGTAAAAGATCTTTATCCTAGCCTGTTAGGCCAGCATTTGCTTATTAAATTATGTTATAATTGCAATTGAGTATAAAAAAAAAATGCTCTTGGCCATTTTAGATATGGAACATCTCATTTTTAGTAGTAAAATTAGACACAAGTAGAAAACTACAAATCTAGATGTAGATTTTATGAAATTCAAAAATTATATATTAAAATTTTATGCGGATTTTAATTTTTAAAATTTTTATATTTCATATGTGCAAGATATATTTTGAATATAAGATTTGGAACCACTTTATTTCCATTCAAAGATTTTTTTTTTTTTTTAATTAGGAAAGAGTTATCTCATAACTAACAACATTATTAAAGAAATAATATTTGAACTTTTTTTTTTTTGAAAATGTAATTCATTAATATTAAGAATTACAAATAAACATACATATTAGACATAGAATTTTACTAACTATTAGAATTCGCTGATCTTCTAACGAAATAAAAGAATTCATATCCTTTTGAAATGTGAAATTAAAACTAAAAAAAAATATAATATTGGATCTTTTTGCTTGGAGTTTATCTTTACAAAAAATAGAAATTTTTATAGCAACAACTAGTCCGTTAATTGATTTGGACATCAAAATAATAACTTCTCTGAATTTTCTATAACTGGACTATTTTTCCAATAATTTGCAACATACGACGAATATAGATGAGTTTTCGTTGCTATGCGTCGATAGCATTAATGGAGGAACAGACCGCACTACCAAGGTCCATTAATCGAAGATCCACACTTGCAAATCAAGATCTAAAGTCTTCAATCAAATAAAATTAAATATCATAATATTATTTAATAATAAACCCTCATAAGAAGGGACTACCCTTACAAAGAAGGAACAAGAAAAACTTCAAATATGGAGACAACCAACCATAACAAAACAAAAAGACAGATCAGTTATAAGGAAAACAAATCTGAGTTTATACAACGGCAGCGGTTGAGAGCCTCCGAACAGTTAATTATTAGGAAGTAAAACAGTTGACAATTACTGCAACAATTAACTTACTAATATTTGAACTAACTCAACTGGAAACCTTAAAAATTAATATTTTATAATTGACTTTGAAAGAATTAATATTTAAACTTAATTATAATTTTAATATTATAATTAAATCATAACATTAAATGACTAATACTTAAACTCAATTATTATGATGATGACTAATATTTGTATCTAATATTAAAAATAAAAAAACCACATTTCAATATCAAAATTTAATAAAAACAGGCAAACATTACTAAAGATTAATATTTAAATTTAATTAGAAATTTCCATATTTAAATTAAAATTAAAATTTTATTATTAAGAAATACTAAATCACCAGTATGAATATATGGATAATGCACATATATATATATAAAACTTTGTAACTATATAGATATATATACTTTCTACCTTTAAAATATTAAAAAATAGTTTGAGGGCTAAAATTCGATCCATTGAGCTGATTTTGGTGAAATTTTTAATCGAATTGAATTAATCAAATGGAATAGAGTGTCAATTGAATCAAATTAAATACTAACAAATCTAACGAAATTTGCTCTAACCAATTTGGCCAATTTAATTTTTGTATTATTTGATGCGAAAAAATTAAATATGAAATCAAATTTAATCGAACCAAAAACCAAAATAGAGTTAATGATTTCTAACTACTTTTTATTAATTAAAAACGGTAGTGTTTTTCGCTTTAGGTAATTTGGGTAATGTCGTTGGATTTACTTCAAATTCAACTATTAGCGAAGCACTCAAAATTACAATTTTATTGATTGACTCGACAACTAAACATCGAATCCTCCAATTAAATTGCTCGATTTAGCTGATTTAGCTAAATTGAATGCTCATTCCTAACTTCAAATAGCTACTACTCAGATCAAGTGATAAGTTGATTTTAGACAGAAATCTGCATAGAAAAATTAGACTTAAACTAAATTGAAGTGAATATTTCTGTAACTAGTCAATAAATGAAGAAAAAAAATAAAAAGGCCAAAAAGTTTATAACTAGTCAATAGCAAAATATAAGTTAGATCGAAAACAATTAAGTTCAGATCGGTATTAATTTCAGAATTGAAAAAGAAAATTTTTAAAAATAAAATTGAAGATAGAAAATTCATGATGAAACTCTCATCAATATCATAGAATTTTGACATATTTACCAACCAAAAAACAAACTAGCCTATGATATTTTTTTTGGAATGGAGAAGAAAATTTTGGTGATTCATTTAGTAGCAATGAACAAAAAATGACGAAGACAAGAGGAAAGGGTCTTCTCTCCTACCTTGACCATTGAATCAAACCTTATTATGTCCATGAATAATAAAGTCAAAAAAGGAGTTAGGTTTGATTCCACCAATTCCTGAAAATAGTTCTGGTTAGTACTATTATGCTTTTTGTGTTGTGTCAATATTATAGTCTACCTGCGTCTCCAACCCATTTCTTTAGAGCAAATTTCTCTCCTTTCAACAACTGTCGCCATATGAGAGCTCTTCTCTTTTGTCCTTTACTCGTTGTACACTTTTGTCCACTCCAATTCCTCCTCCTTGGACTAAGAACTCATCCATCAAAAGCTCAAGGGAAAATTACTATTACCTCCATAATGTTCTATATAATTCTCATTTTAGTCTCAAATATCCTAAAATTAATAATTTGACTCTCGGGTAACTTTAGTTCCTTCCAAAATTCAAGTTACTTTTTAGCCTAAAAATAAAGAAATTACTTGAAAAAGGCATATATTTTTATTTTACTGACTTATTAATTATTTAAGACAATAGTTCCTCTGTCAATTTAAATGTGTTACAATTTTAAACTGCTTAAAAATTAAGAAATTATTAAATAATCTCAATCTTAAAAATAATATTTATTGTTAATTCTTTAAGTAACTCATTTTTATTTAGTGCATATATAAAAAAATAAAGGTAAAATTCAAAAAATAATTATTTGATTCCTTAATTTTTTAAAATGACAAACGAAAAGAAAAAAATTTTCCAAAATAGAGATGGACGAAGTAATATAAAAAGCAACAAGAGTCATCTTGAGAATATTATTAATAGAATAATATTTTAATATATTGACTTTAATTAAAAAGAAAAGTGCTTAATTTTCTTTTTATGTCCTAAAAAGAAATCATGGACTATTATTTGGGTATCAATTATGAAATTTTAATGAATTAAAGTGTTTTTATAATAGAAAAACTTAATGATTGAATTGTATTATGTTTTTGAATATTAGGAATATAGGTGACATATAACCTAAAACGTCATAAACTTTAGTAAGAACTTAATAATTTTTATAAATAAGGACTAAATATTACGTCATTAATAATTTAAAGACTAAAAATACTAATTGTATAACAATAAAGACAAATATTTTAATCATGACAAAAACTAAAAGGGAAGGGTGTTATAGTAATTTCACTCAAGAAATTAAATCTCTCCGTCATACTATATATAAATTGCACTGAAAACTGAAATTATAGCAACAATGACAGAATCGACTCCGCCTCTCCTACGCTCTTATGCAGAGCTTTCATCAGCTGAATTAGCTACTGATGGAGGAATGATGGAGGAATGCCAACTGCCATTGATAGACCTTAATGGTCTAAAGAGCGGCGATCGGAGAGAGAGAGTGGCTTGCTGTGAAGCGATATGCAGAGCTGCATCAGAATGGGGATTCTTCCAAGTAGTAAACCATGGCATAAACAATGAGTTACTGAGGAAGATGAGAAGAGAGCAAGTTAAGTTGTTTCGAACACCTTTTGAAAGAAAGGCTAGTAGTGGAATTTTGAATAATTCATATAGGTGGGGAACTCCAGCGGCTACTTGTTCAAAGCAATTTTCATGGTCTGAGGCTTTCCACATTCCTCTTACCAAAATTTCTGAGGAAACTTGCTATGGAGACTTTACCTCTTTAAGGTATGCTGGTTCATTCTCATTTTTTTTATCCTTTATTGACCAATTTTAAATTAAGGGGCAAAACCTTTAAATATCTAAATCAATGGCCACAAATGATAAAAAAAAAAAAAAAAAAAAAATGATTTTTATAAGAGTGTGGAGCACAAAGTGATGGCCAATGCAAAGATGGAGAGACATTCAGTTGCCTACTTTCTCTGTCCTTCCTATGATTCTTTAATAGGAAGTTGCAAAGAGCCTTCAGTCTATAGAAAATTCACTTTTGGGGAGTACAGGAGACAAGTTCAAGAAGATGTCAAGAAAACTGGCCATAAAATGGGACTTCCAAGATTTTTACTTTAAAATACACATCAGACAGATCCCATAAACTAACCCACAATCAAAAGCCAAGACAAGATTTTGGCTCTCTACTTCAATTCATCAGAGGAGGATTGTGACATAAACTGATTCCATAAGCCAAGCGAAACCACCACCAGTTGGTTTGTTGCAGTTATACCTGTATTTATTCCAAGAAAACACATTGTTCTGTACAAGATAAATATATATATTGGATTCCTTTGTTAGAAAAAACGGATATAATATTGAAATAAAATATATCTAAATAGTGTGAATGTTCTCAGCCATGAACTTTGTGAGACAGAAACAGACAACTGAGGGCTTTTACCCATTAAAATAATGCCATTAGACTAAATAAACATTATAAATGCAGGATTCCGTTCACCAACAGACCCAATAATGCTTTGCGGTTGATGATACGCCGATATCACATGCATAAGGCATCATCTCTGCCCAACTGAAAGAAAAAAGGGGGAAAAAAAAAACATCTGCTTCAAGTTTTCAACGTCTAAATTAAAAAACAAAATTTTAAAAGCAGTTGGAGAATATATCTTAACTGCAAACCCACAAAAGCTTAGCCGCCTATGTGGAGAAAATTATTCCCATTTCCAAAAGCTATTTTCGGTTTGTTGTCCAAAGGACTTACCTTGAGCATACTTCGAGCTTCATTTCTCTTATAGACTTGAATTGTTAGGCATCCCCCACAACATGAATGAGCATATCATTTCTGCAAGTATGAATTTCTCTTCTTCCATGTGTATCATAGAGCTCAAAAACAGGCAAAATCAGCAAAATGAAGAGACAAAAAAGGTTCCTCTAAAACAAGTTTTAACCTGACAGAATTCAACTTGCCGAGAAATAGGATACCTTAGCATAGCCTTGCCAATGCCCCAAGTTGCAATGATTAGCTACTGATGAAGTCTCTTTCAAGTGACCCATATTTTAGTAATTCAGTCTTGCCTTTCAAAAGCACCACAACTTGCCACTATTAGTTACTAGGGTCTTGTTTGCCATTACCATTAGCTTCCGTATCTACAAAACTTCTGTATCCAAAATTGCTGACGACAAAAGATGTTTTCCTATTTGGTAATGAAAATGGAAAAGTTTAAACATATAGCAATGAATACTTGATAAATGCTCTAATGGAAATTAGAGATTCCTTTTTCTTATAGAATTTTGAAATCGACAATATAGTATTTGTTAATTGTTGCCATGTTTTTACTTAAGACTTTTTGTTGATATATTCTGCAAACCATTTCCAAATAATTTATTAGTTATCGCATACAATTTTTAATATCAAATAATTTTTGCTACTAATTAATCTTTAACTTTATCAACTTAAATTAGTCTATCAAAATTATTTCACTTCTAATAATTTCAACAATATATTGTTGAAATGTCAGGCCCATGAGTGTTGGATCAAGTTGGGCTAGACTTGTGATATGGCCATTTTGGTTTGGTGGCTTTAACATTATAGCCCTCTTCCTTTTTCTTTACTTCCTTTCCTTTCCACATTCACACTCCAGCACTCCCCATCAAATGCAAATGAGCTGGACCTTTGTTAAGGCCCAGTTGTCACTTGGCACTGCATGGGGTGACCCATCAAACTTGGGTCTGGCTCCTCTTGACTCAGCCCTCAGGGTCTAGCTCTCCTTGACTAGCCCAAGGGTCCACCTGAATCTGGCTCCATTATCTCAGTTCATGGGTCTGGCTTGTTAAGGCTCACCCCACCATGCTTGAATGGTTCTTGGATCTGCGGCTGTTGGGTCTCACCACTCTGATACCATGTTGGAATCTCGGGCCCATGGGTGTTGGATCAAGTTGGGCTAGACTTGTGATATGGCCATTTTGGTTTGGTGGCTTTAACATTATAGCCCTCTTCCTTTTTCTTTACTTCCTTTCCTTTCCACATTCACACTCCAGCACTCCCCATCAAATGCAAATGAGCTGGACCTTTGTTAAGGCCCAGTTGTCACTTGGCACTGCATGGGGTGACCCATCAAACTTGGGTCTGGCTCCTCTTGACTCAGCCCTCAGGGTCTAGCTCTCCTTGACTAGCCCAAGGGTCCACCTGAATCTGGCTCCATTATCTCAGTTCATGGGTCTGGCTTGTTAAGGCTCACCCCACCATGCTTGAATGGTTCTTGGATCTGCGGCTGTTGGGTCTCACCACTCTGATACCATGTTGGAATCTCGGGCCCATGGGTGTTGGATCAAGTTGGGCTAGACTTGTGATTCCAACATATATATAATATCTAATGACTATAACTTTATACGAGAACCGTCTAAACACATCATATACACGAACAATTGCCAAAAATATCAGGCTTGATGCCAAAAAAAAAAAAAAAAAATGTTCACACAAATGAGACTTAACTCGAATGGACATTAAAAAACCCTCAGGTTATTGAAGTTATGTCTTCAACAGATTTCAAAAGTATATTTTAACAAAAAATTCAGTAGCAAATATGCAGCTTTTGCAATGACATTTTTCACTGAAAATGCAGTCTCATTAAGCCAGGTTTTTCAGTTCCTTCGAAAGCTTAAAGGGCACAAGATTAGTGAATGTAATTAGTTTGAAAAGGGCCATGCTTGGAGATAAAAATGTAAGAAAATGTTTACAATTGCAGGTCCCATTAATATTACCTCAACAGATATTTAAAGTTATATCAAAACTTACAGACGAGGAAGTGTTTGAATTTTAATTTTTTAAAAGTGTGAACTTTAATTTTTAAAAATCAAAATCTTAAATTGATTAATCATTCCCAATCAACGGCATTTGATTCTTTTTCACCAGAATTGACTAGCTATAAACAGAAGAATTTATGGGGACGGAGAGGAGAGAGAGAAAGAAACAAGAGAAAGGAGAAGAGAGAGCTAAAAAACAGAAGGCTTATTTTTAGTTTTCAACTCACAAGTATCAGGTGATTTTGTTGATTTCCTTTTTTTTTCTTTTTTCCAACTCAATTTTATCTACAAAATAAACCTATAATCCACATCAACATTCCGGAGAGGAACCAAAGAAATGCACTTCATTAAAATTATTAATCCATTAAGCACTTGATTGAAAAGAAAGTTCAATTTTATACACCCAAACAGAAATTTGATCAAAATTCGCACACTAGTACTTTTTAATTAGGGATAAACAAAAGGAATTTCAAATCTAAATTGAATATATTTGCTTGCTACATAGAAGAAGATTCTATAGTTTCACATCAAAAACCACCTTAGCAATCATGATCCAAGTCCCTATAGGGCATTACACAGGGTTAAATTACATCCAAGTATCAACAATACAAAGGAGCAAAATTGTTATGAAAAAACTGAGTCACGCATTGATCAACAGACTCCACTGAAAAGTAGATCATTAAAAGCATACATTTAGACTAAAATCTTAAACCTAGATACTTGAGCTCTTAATCTCTATGAGACCTGAAAATCAAATACAAAATTAGATCTAACAGCCAGACTAATTAGGATTCTATACCAAGACCTCAAATATGCTGATCAGCCCATTCTGCCAAAGCTAGAAATCAAGATATCTTTGGTACTAAAATTATAAAAAACTCGATAAACATACAAATACCTGGTCATTATGGCTTGAAATATTGCCTGTTTTGCTGGGTTTATTCACTTAAAAAGACCGCTCTTTGTTGAAATAAGTTACAAAAAATGGGATTACTGTTTAGTATTGTAGGAAATTTGAATTCCCAACTTTGGAAGGGACTTCCCTAAATGGACAGTAATCACTAAACAGTTAGGACTCCAAATATAAAGGGTGTGTCAGCAATATCAATGAATCTCTTCAAGAGGGATGTCAGAATATAAGCTTTACCCACACTTGATAGGAGGTGCATCACTTAATAGTTTCTGGTTGTGGCAATACTTGTTAAACTGACTTCCAGGAATAAAAGGCATTACTCTTAAGACATGCTTCTAAAGGACATCCACTCCAGCACATAACAGCCCTTCAAAAAAGCTTTTCAGCATGCATTACATTACAAGCCTTTTTTTATAAGGAAGTAAACCATACACTTGCCACTAGAGCAATTACTGCCATTAGACAGTATAATCCTCTTCTCTTCCTCCTTTCCTTTCTGGGAAGCTATTTAGGAGAAAGATAAAGTCACAGTAATTCCAATTTTTACTGTTACTTTTCCCGCGACACCTTTTTATTTTTTATTTTTTATTTTTGCCTGCAACAACTTGTACTGAGATTTAAAACCTAAATCGAGAGATCTTCCCAAACTGGCATTATGATCTTAGCCAATGACTCATCATTTCTTTGTATATTATTTGCTTATGGCTAGAAAATACTCAAAACTGTCCCAATTCCCTAGTTGCAAATAAGCATTGGACAAGGTCCATACTGAAATTCTCAAGTATTCAAGTCTTTAAACAATTTTCCACAACTACTTGCTGTTCGCATTACCTAAACTGCAACAATTTTACAGGAAGACATTGCTCTCACAACTTACACCTACACTTTTGCAGTGGCAATAAGACATGACTTTTAACACTACACAGAGCAATCAAATTACTGTTAAGAGAATATTTCAAAGAAAGAAAAAGCCTTACCTTGTGATGTCTGTTTGACACTTGAGAATCATGATAAAGATCAGAAAAGAGTTCCACCCTCAAATTTGTCTTTGAGATAGAATATGGACTGCTCCGCTCTAAGTACAGAAGGAACTGTTGGGAGTCCCCCATATGATCAACCCTGAAGCTACTTAAGCTTCAAGTTTACCTGTATTATTAGATTCCATAACAAGACATAGCCCATCACATTAAGAAACAGAAAGTAAACAAGAAGAACAAGAAAAGATCTTGAAGAACAAAGCAAACAAGCAAAAAGATCAGGGAGATTATATAAATTTAGTTTATAATCCACCTCACCAAACTTTTAAGATAACCATGAATTCCAATTTTTCATATAGAGGGTTTCCATCTTCAATTCAATGCATAAGTGTTTTACATATTACGACAAAAATGGTACAAATGCAACAGACTAACAAACCATGTTTGAATCTTTTACTAAATTTACATGTTCCAATGGACAAGAAAACCACATAAGGAGCTAGTAAGGGAAAAGAAGTATTGAAATATGCAGTCCATTGAAATGCTCTATCCACAAAGCCTTATGGACAGAAGTATGCCACTTCATTGCTGCGAGTTTCATATCTGCACATGAAATTTCGAACACTACTCCTAAACTACATCCTTGAGTTTATTGACAGAACCAGGATGCTGGAGCAGAAATACACACCTGTGGTGAAAGTTGTTGCGTTGATGAAAAGTTCCATTGAAGAGGGTCAAAACTTCTGTTTGCATGTGCATAGGGAACTATACAGATCATATTCAGTCAAGTAACGATGAAACCTTGTCTTTTAAACTGCTCTTCTTTTTTGTGTGGGGACCCAATTCCTGTCCAACATCAGTTTGAGTTTGCCTTCCCAAATCATAGGGAAAATCCATATCATTTCTGAAAAATACACTTTTGGTTTCATCTTCTAGTGGTTTCTTCAGCAAGGGACCCAAAAACAGATGAAGCATTTCCTGAGCAGGATCCCCCATTGTGCTAACCTTGATGAAGCTTTGTTGGCTTGTCAAATTCAGAGTTGAACTGCAAGAATCAGCAATTTCAGCACAGGGCAATTGCTGGTCGCTCTTACAACCATTGCTAGAGGGAGTTATTGTTGTTGAACATTTTCTCTCCAATGACTGCTTTGGCTCCAAATCCTCCTCATGGTCCCTTACATACTGCACATAGATATATTATGTATAAATGATATGCTAGAGAGCAAATCTACAACAGCCTTGTTTGGTATAAATGAAAATTAATCTTACATTTTTAATTCTAAGTAACTGGTTATACTTGAACAAAATTCTATCAAAATTGATAAAATTTGTGAATGGATGAATTATAAACTTAATATGAGATAAATCATAAAGCTATAAAATTTTAAACCAACAAAAGAAAAGCCAGGAAGCAAATGAGCCAAGCTTTGGCTAGAAGCCTGGCTTGCCAGCGTGGCTGTCAATAAACAAGCCAAGCCAAGCCGAGGCGATCATTATCAAGCTCATGTAAAACTTAACGAGCTTAACCTTTTTTTAGTCAATTTACGATATAAATTTAATAATTCATAAATTTATTAAAAAAATCTAATAATACTTGCAACTTTTTATGATAAATGTGTAAACTTTAATTATTATACTATTGAAAATTATTTTTTTTAACAACTAATTTTTAGAAATTATATTTATGCATAAAACTATAAGACAAACATACAGGAGACCACAAAACCTTGAGCTTGTTTCTAATTTGATCATAAAAATTAATTTCTTTTAGATAAAAACTAATTTGATCATAAACTTCAATTTTTTTTATTAAGTCGATTCATTTGAAATTTCCAGCAAGTACTTGCTAGAATAGTTGACATAAACTGCTACCTCACTTATTAAACACATTGGCTCACAGACGGGTATTTTCTGTTGTGAGTGAGCTCCGTGTGTTTGCTAGCTCAAATTATACAAGTGATATGGCTATCCAAGATAGCCTTTTGGGCTGATTTTTGCCGAAAAATCTCAATTGTGATCAAATCGAAAGAAAAACTAAACTTAATGATTCATATGCATCAAATGAAAGTTTTGCGTTCAAATTAGAAACAATCGCGGTTTAATGATCTCCTGTGTAATTTAGTATATAATTATATTATATATGCACTGGCTCGGGAGCCGAAATGAGTCAAGCTTAGCTTAAGCAAACCTTATCAATCCGAGCTCTGAGTAGCTCATGATTGCTAAAGCATAATTAAAAATTCTGAACATAAAAATTCATTTACAACTAATTAAAAACAAACGCATTCAGAAATCAAATGAATTCTACATTCCAAAACACTATGAAAGATTCCAAATAAATTTTGCATATCCTAATCATTCATGTCATACCAAATCTTAACCATCAGACAATAATAATCAAATAGAGTACTAAAATTACCTCCTGAGCAATGCTCACTAAATCTTCAACCGTCAATTCATCATCTTCCTCAACGGTTTTTTTTCCTCCTCTTTTTTTACCAACCTTTTTATCCTAATCATACATGACAAACGAAATGTTAATCATCAGCCAAGAAATAGACAAATAATCAAAAAGAGTATTAAAATTACCTCCTGAGCGCTGCTCACGAAATCTTTAACCATCATGTCATCATCGTCTTCAACAGCATCGTTGGCTTTTCTTTTTTTCCCAACCCCTTTTCTGCTGACTACATTTTTAACTTTCTTCTTATTGTTAGTTCCACAATTTGAGAGAGGCTCTGCCGTCGCCGTCTTATTTTTATCTCCATTAGCGACCATCCATGAAGGCAAACGCCGGGTACTACCGTCCACCATGCTTCGGATCCTAATTAGCTGATGAATAAAAATAAAATCAGAAAACAATGGTCGGTTTCCAGGGTATTTGAGAAGTCGACGTCAAATATTACAAGGTTTTTGACAAAAATGAGGTTCTTAAAAAAAAAAAAAAAAAAAAAAAAAAAAAAAAAAAAAAAATGAATAAAATAAAAAATCAGAAAAACAATGGTCGGTTTCCAGGGTATTTGAAGAAGTCGATCGTCAAATATTTACAAGGTTTTTGACAAAATGAGGTTCTTTAAAAAAAAAAAAAAAAAAAAAAAAAAAAAAAAAAAAAAAAAAAAAAAAAAAAAAAAAACATGTCCCAGTCTAACTTAAAATCAAAACAATTTACAATAAATAATAATTTTTATTTATTATTGAGATCATCGATTCAAATAAATTGTGAAATGACCTCGCTAAGACACACAATTTATTGGTGATAAATTATAAATTTAGTCTTCGAACTTTTCAAAAATTTCTATTTCATTTTCTGAATAAAAAGGTTTTACAATCAAGTGTCTAAACTATGAAAAATTTTCAAAATGTATATAATGCTTATATGGTCAGCCAGAAATGCCATTTGGACGACTGGACCAACATTATAATGAGAGATTTGCTGATTAGGCACAAATTAAATGACCCACATCAGACTCATGGTCAATGCACATGACCTAAGATTGAATGACTAAATTGTCTTTTTCCATTTCTCTTGGACCTAATTCAAAGCATGTGGGCTAAATTGAAATCCCTAAGAATCAAAGAATAGGTACAGAGATGTAGAGCTCGAAGAACTCAGGTGCTTAATGAATTTCTTATTTTTACGGACTTGTATTACACTTAATAAAGGAGACTTTATTTTTATTCTCTCCTAATTTCATTCCACATTCCCTATCCTGCTCATCTCTTCTTTCTATCGGTGTGATAGATGGAATTCCATTCTTCCATAGACTACCCAAGAAATCAAGCAATCTAATCTTCAAATAATAAAACCCAAATCTCTTTTACCTTACTCTCTCAATCGACAGCTGGCCGACCCATCTTCACCACTTTTCTCTCCAATTTTCTTATTATGCTTTTTTTTTTTATTACTCCTCTTTTACAATTTTTCAATTTGCAGATGACTAAAATCTAGAGAGATTTACTTTTGCTGAAAAGTTCCCAAGTGAGTTAATTTTAACTTGGTTTGATTTTGGTAAAATGTTAGTTGTGTAACATCCTGGACCTGAAGCATCATATTATGATCATACATCTGTATTTATGAACATGATATATGTGACATGAATGTGTATACTAATGCATTTGCCATCGATCTGTGATAAATAATAGGCAATGATATGCCTAAACACAACTTTGCACATAAACATCTGATAAGAATGTGAATATGCAAATGCATAATCTGAATAAGTTCTAAACCCAAAAAGCTCGACACTCTATCTTTGACACAGAGGGTGCATATATGTTCTTTAAAGCCTTTTAGTACACCTATATATGGTGTTTATGAATGAGTTGACTCAAGTGAGAATAATGAAATTATTATGGAGAATTATGTCTATTTTAGTGATTAGATTGATTAAGACTACCTTAATGTGTTAGTAAGAGATTGTTAATCACAAAATTGTAAGTTAATTAAAGTAGAAAATGATTATGGGGAACAATTAGAAGGTCAAGCGTGCTCTAGTTACGGCGATGAGAAGCTAGCACGTGAAGCACCTCAATCAGACAACATAAGAAACAACTATATAGTATCTTTGACACACAGAGGGTGCATTAATAAGTTTGCTTTAAAGCCTTTAGAATATACACCTATATAAAAGCAGGTGTATTTATGAATGAGTTGAACTCAAGTGAGAATAATGAAATTTTTATTATCGGAGAATTATGTCTAGTTTTTTATCGTGATGCCTAGATTGGATTAAGACTACCTAATGTGTTAGTAAGAGATTGGGTTAGATACACACACCACATTGGTAAAGTTAATTGTAAAGGGTAGAAAAAATGACTTTAGGTCTATATCTATATTAGACCAGCGTCAAGCGTCGCTCCTCAAGTTAACGGAGATGAGAAGCGCTAAGCACGTGAAGCGACCTCAAATTAGTGTTTTTGAAATTAAGTAAGGTTAATAATTTTGGTGTTGAAAATAATCTCACAAGAGATGTTAGTTTTTGAGGGCCTTAAAATGGAGATTTAAATTACAGTGTTAATGGAGGATGTAGATTTAGAATTAACATAAAAGTAAGTATATCACTGAGGATATACAACGATTGTGTGGTAAAAAGCATGAAATATGCAATGACGTTAAGAGATCTACATTAAGGGAGAGTGAGGAGGTCATGTGCTTTTTAATAGGGCCAATGGACATGTTAGTAGATAATTACACACATAAGTGAATGAAAGAATTAAAAGGAACAAAAGGCAGAAGAAGAAGAAAGGAGAAGACCGGACGATGCCTAAGGAGAAGAAAGGAATGAACCAGAAACGGAGCAAGAAGAAAGGCTAAGGAATTGGAAAATCTTAACTTTGATTTTTTCAAAGGATTTATTGTTGGGTAATCCGAATTGCAGTTCTTAAAGGTACTTAAATCTTCTTAAGTTAATTAAAGTAGAAAATGATTATGGGGAACAATTAGAAGGTCAAGCGTGCTCTAGTTACGGCGATGAGAAGCTAGCACGTGAAGCACCTCAATTAGTGTTTTGATTAAGTACTTAATAATTTGGTGTTAAATAATCTAAGATGTTTAGTTGAGGCCTAAATGAGATTAATTAAGTGTTAATGGAGGATTGTAGATTTGATTAACATAAAAGAAAGTTATGAAAACAAGTGTGGGTAAAAGCATGAATATGCATGACGTAAAGGATTTAAAAGGGAATGAGGAGTCATGTGCTTTATACATGACATGTTAGTAGATATTAAACATAAGTGAATGAAAGAATTAAAAGAACAAAAGCAAAGAAAAGAAAGGAAGAAGAGGCGAATGCCTAAGGAAGAAGGAGGAGAAGAAGAAAGCTTAAGGAATTGGAAATCTTACTTGATTTTCAAAGGATTTTTGTTGGGAATCATCTAAGGTAACTTAATCTTCTTTTAGTTTATGTTATTTTCATTATTTGGAGCACTTTGGGTTAGGGTTTCAAAGTAGAGAAATTAAAGGAGAGATTATTTTCATGTTAATAAGTGATGTAGACATGATTGGTTGTTAATTAGTTGCTATTGAGTGAATAACATGTGAATTGATCTTTAAATTTGATTGAATTAAGAAAATCATACTTAAGGTTAAAGATGGAGGTTCTGTCAGTTTGAAATGATCGTAGAAATGATCATTCGAAGAGAAAATCATATATGAGGCTAAGATGGAGGTTTTGTCATTTCGAAGTAATCGCAAAAATGATCATTTTGAAGAGAAAATCATATCTGAGGCTAAGGATAGAGGTTCGGCCAGCACTAGATGATCATGGAAATGATCATTTCGTTTTGAATTAACGAGTTCAAAATGCAAAGAGAAATAAAAATATTAAGCATTTAAGTCATGTATACTAAGTGTTTGATTGAATGCCCAAATGAGTATTGAGGTGCTTGCTTACTCATATAGGTAAAAGAGTCCTAGAAGGGGGTGAAGGAGGAGACTTTTTCAGGCCTTGATACCACTACATTATACAATGTGAGTAAAAGCATCTAATATTTAATTGTATGTAATGAATGAACACTTTTAACATTTGTTATGGCATGTGCCATACTTGTTATCCTGCAATGGTAAAAACATGATTCTTAGCTTGGAAAAAGGAAAGCTAAGTAAAAAGGTATGTACTATCTTGAGGCCAATTAGCCTAATATGTGATGGGTGTTTATTTGTGATATCTGTTACAACAATACACTGTACTACGTATTTGATGTTCTGCTTTGAAAGGAGTATGATGTGGTACTAAAAGGGTGACGAATTAAGCAAAAGGTGTGTATTACTTTGAGGCATGTGAACCTAATCTGTGAGTGCAATTCTGTTAATTCTGCATCTGAGATAAACGAAAGTTATGACTGTCATTACCAACTCGTAAATCTGTATCTGGAGCTGCGTGCTCATAGTTTGAATCTGGAGCTATGTGCTCATAATCTGTATCTGGAGTTGCGTGCTTTTAAATCTGTTAGCTGGAGCTATAAGCTCGAATCTATATCTGGAGCTGCATGCTCATAAATCTGAAATCTGGAGTTGCGTGCTCAAAAATCTGATTTGAAAGCTGGCCAGCTAAATCTAATATTTGAAATCTGTTATTTGATACCTCGGGGGTGAAAGTTTGGTTTGACAAGTCATAACATAAATAATCTGACAATCATCTACATCATACTTCTGAAGTATATCTCTGTAGCACCGTATTTGTGATGCCTTGAATGACTATGGTTTCTGTCGATGAGAATGATGTGATATCTGCACACTGCACATTGTTGCTGTGAATGATTTGATGAATGACTATTATTATCTGAAAATTATTGATGCCAGGCATTGATGGCCCGAGGAGTTAAAAATGATTGGATTATTGGACTACACTATGTGCTTTATTTGAGATGCTTATGATATGCTATGTTATTTCAAATAATCATTTATGCTGGTTTTTACTCATTGAGTAGCATATCATATAAAATGCTAATGTTTTTTCAAATTTTGGCTAGGAGGCTTTAGCAGTCAAACTTTCTTCTGTTCAGACAGACAGAAATGGAACTAAGATCAGGATCAATTGTGTCTGCATATGTCACCTCCTCAATTTGTAAATATGTAGTGTAGGAGTTAAACTTCTTAACGTCTATCATATATTAAGTAACTTCTGAATTATATTTGGTCATATATATATTTATTTTTATATGACTGTTTGTGAAGAGTAAGAACAATTTTATGATACTGGTTTTTACTATTTAACACATAGTGCGACTTATATTTCTGTAAATGGAGAAACTTCTTAAGATCTTAGGAACAAGTGGTTTTGGAATGATTAATTAAATTGGCTCATAATATCATCACTATCCACAAACTACATCTCTCTGCAATTCTCATTCTTCAATGTCTAGATATTTCAATTTAGCCATATGGGTTTAAATTGAATCAGGAGCAAAAGAAAAGAAAAGGGACAATTTATTCATTTCAATCCCGAGTTTGACATGGCTTAATTAGTTTTTGCCTAATCAGCAAATCTCTCCTCGTATTGTGGGGCCAATTCATCCTAATAATTTTTTTGGCTGGCCACATAGGCACTATCGACTTGGTTGAATTTTGTCTTTTAGTTCAGTTATTTAATTGTAAAAATTTTCCGTTCAGATACTAAAATAGAAAATTTTAAAGAGTTCAAACACTAAATTTATAATTAACCTTTCATTTAGTGCAAATATGGAATGTGGCCACCAGTCACAAAAAATACATTAGAGAATAGTATTTTGTTAAGAGTCCACTAGGTTACCTAATGGTTTTAATAAAAAAAATATTTGTTTTGTCAAAGTATTTTTTTTCGCCAAAACACATCTATTATCTGGTAGTTTTGGTTTATATATACTTCAAGTTAAATAATAAAAACATAAGTTTCCTTACACAATTACAAATTACCAAGAGCAATAAAGTACTTCGAGTTGAACTTGTATTACGTTAAAAATGTCTTAATAACTAATATATGGAAATTAGTCATATTAAAGTCTACCTACGGATCCTCTTGTACCAGATATTGGAGGCTTTCTATTATGATCTGGATTTCGATGTACTGCATCTTTTCTAATGCCTTTATATTCTTCTCCATACTCTAATATTTATATCGACACTCATGTGAGGAGTTTGAACTCTACTCACAAATGGTTGTTGAAGGCTTGAAAATGTTAGATGAGTCTATTGATTGGGTGCCATTATCATCTTAAAGAAATTATGAAACAAGTGCCTAACACAGGATATAGATCCATTAAGTGTGTCGAAAGACACTGCAGAAGTATTGAAAGTAGGTATTGTATATTGAAATGATGTTACCTCGCTCGTTTCGAGGAAAGAAGTATGAGTTTGTCGGGTTGCCATCAGTGGCGGATGTATGTCCGTAAAGGAGGGTCAATTGACCCTTTTTTTTTTTAAAAAAAAATTAAATATCCTATTAAAACACTACCACTTGCAAGTTTAAAGTTAAAATAAGTAAAAAATATATTTTTGAAAATTGAAACAAATGGAAACGGCAGAGTCATGTAATTTACTTCAAACAAAACTCTTTTCCTCTCAACGTTCTAATGTTTTTTATCGTTCATCTCTTACCCTTTTCTAGACTTGCAGTTCTACTTCTAACTCTTTCAGTCTTTCTAATTTTAAACTAAATTGTACATATTTGGGGCAATTTAAGGTATGTATAAATTAATTCTCCAATTTTTTATTATTATTAAAGCTAAAAATTTTATAAGAGTTGCTTTTGTTTTTCTTCCAAAACTCACTTGGATATTTTGTCAAACGGGTTAAGAAACACAATATATATATATATATACACACACACACACAACGTGACACCAGTCATCATCAATTTCTAACAGATAAATGAAACAACCCGGGAAATTTTTTTCAAAAATTGTTCTTTTAAAAATTTAACCGTAAATTTCAAGCAAAGAAATTTAATGGAAAATAATTTTCTACGCTACGAATCGACCCGAAAACCAAATTTAAATCGTCAAACTGAATCGAAAAACATGTAAATCAGTTAAAAATGAACCAAACCATTGAGTTGGACCAAACCCAGTTTGAATCAAACTAGAATGCCCTAGAATGTGTTGAAACCCTCTTTTTCTCTTTTGTTTTCTTTCTTCTCTCCTGGTCCAGCGCTAGACCCGCCGTTCCTCCCTCTCTTTGATTTTCCGGCCACCAGCTGAGCTAGTCGACGCCAATTTCTCTTTGTCGCTGCATCACTAGCTTCTCTCTCTCTCTCTCTACTTTCCTTTCTACGAACAGCACAGCAATTAGGCGAGCTACAATCTTTCTCTGTGAACGGTGCAGGACGCCTTCGTTCATTGCTAGCAATGCCATCACGGTCGAACGACTCCAACGCCTTCCTCGGCGACGGGGTCGTCTTTCTCTCCCTCCCCATTTATTTGCAATCGCCGCAACAAGCAATTGAGCCATTCCGGGCAGTTAGAGGGTTGATCTCGCCCAACCAATACCAAAAATGAACTCTTGAGTGAAATTCGAGCTAGATGGTGTGAAGAGCGCTCGATTCTAAGAAGCCACGGTTTTCCGGCCAGCGAGGACAAGAGACGAAATTCTCTCCTCGGTGCCGTGAATGCAATGGTGTAGTTGAAATTTCAATGAACGATTAATGCTTATATTTATGCATTAATTTTAAAATTTGCACAGTTTTGAGAAGATTGTGAGTTATGATTGATTAATTGTGAAATGCACTTGATTTTTAGTTTATACGTGTGGAGAATAAAAAATGTGAGCTTAATGGTTTAGCTGGAATGAGTTAAGAAAATTTGATTTTGGGCAAAGAATTTTATTGTGAATGGTGTGATTAAAAATGGGTTGAGTCAATTTGATTTGGGTCTGAATTTAATTGTGATTATTTGTCTTGTTTGATTTTATAACTTTATATGGATTTTAATGTTTTCTAAGCATGGAAATTGACATGAATTGGGATAAGAGGAGTTTTGATTTTATGTTGAAATTATGAGTGGCCGAATAGGCCTAGTTAAATTGTTATGATTATTGTTAGGGAACCTCGATAGGTAAATACACTTAATTCTGAACTTATGAATACAAGTCATTTAGAATGATTGTTATGAATAAAAACGTGCAAGATAAATTGGAATATTTGAAGTAGTAGAATTAATTCTTACTAGGGATTAGTTAGTTGGTATATTTTAAGTTATAAGTTGGATTTCTTAGTAGATGTATTCATTAAATTTTAGTTTAATTGAAGCATTTGTTCTTAGTGACTAATATAAAGTTTAATAAAGGTATAAATATGTGGTTGTTATCTTTAAGCAAGGATAAAGGAATGAAGATTTGATGAAGAGTACCATAATAGTTAGACACTAAGGAACTACCAAGTGAAAGTAATTGAAATTAACGTAATGATATAAGTCTTATTCGAATGTATATGTATTAAAGCTTTCATTTGTTAGGTAAAGAGCTATAGAAGCTAGTTATAATTATATGAAGTAAAGAATGATATATCATTGGAACATGATTGGAGGTTATTGTAAGCTGTAAATTGATGGTTGGATGTTGGTGATGGTAAGGAGACTACAAGTTGGGGAAAGTAATTGAAAATAACGGTAATGATATAAGTCTTATTCGAAAATGTATATGTTATTTAAAAGCTTTCATTTGTTAGGTAAAAGAGCTTATAGGAAGCTAGTTAATAGAATTATATGAAGTAAAGAATTGATATAATCATGGAACATGAATTGGCAGGTTTATTGTAAGCTGTAAAATTGATGGTTGGATTGTTTGGTGAATGGTTTAAGAGCGAGGAATGGGCATTTTTGGATTTGATTGCATTGGCCGATGTTATGGGCTATATGTGGATTGAAAATAACAAATATTGTGTAAAGTAGTTGAACATTATCTTAACAGGTTTAAAGAAAAGTCCTACTTTTAGGGGGGGTTCTGCCGGAAAATTCTCCATTCGAATCTTAAGCTAGTTATATTTTAAATGGGACTAGTTAATTTAGGTGTTGATAAATTCTTAATTTGGGATAATCAAAATAATAATCCTCATTTATACTTTTAAGTTATTTCCTTTTGCATTTATGATTTATTAAATCGTCCGAGGCTCGTCCACCGCTCCTTGTGGAAATCTTGAATCTAAGAAGCTTATTTCCCCATCACTGTTGGAATAAATAATTAAAACAGGCACTTTTACCATCTGCATCAATGGCCATGTTACATTTACCATTATAATGCTATTTCATTACTTATTATTTGATTATTACTTATTTAATTCATTTTTACTTCTACTTATTGTATATATGTGTATATGTTACAATTGCATCAAATATTTGTTACCAAATTGCATAATTCTTGTGTTTGTTTAATGTGTTTCATTTAAATTGCGGATGTTTGATTTATTGATGTTGTGATAAAATTTGCTAGGCATTGCTTGTGTGGAAATTAGGAGGAAAGTGGCGTCAACCATGGGTTTGTACTTGAGGGCAGTCTGGATACCGGGTCGGGCCATGATAGGGAGTCAATTGGCGTCCCCGTGTTGCATCTGAATGATTATGGGATTAGTATGGGAAACCTCAGGGGTTGGGGGCTCTTGGTTTGGTTTATGGAAAGAAAAGAGAGTATAAAATGAGAGGCTGGTCAAGTGAGGATTAGAAAACTGACGGGCCATTTATGGAAGGGAAATTCGGCTCCCTGTTGCACACGTTCATGAGAGGCATGGGGCCATGTGTGAGAGACGGCTTCATCGGGGGTTTTCAGTGACGGCCATTGACCATATTTTCCATTGTTGATTAACCTGAAAGGTGTAATTTACTTTTGGATTGGCTTGATGTTGTGTTTTCATATGGCTTTGATTCGGCTGTGGGTTCAATTTTAGTATTTTAGGGAAAGCATTTCGTGGTGAATGCTTGTGCTTATAACAATAATACTATTCATTATTTAAAACTCACATTTCTTTTTGTTTTAAAACTTCCTAGAAAAGTAGAATTCTTCTTTGTCCTGGGGCTAAAAAAAGCTCTGTTTCCATTCTTCGCAGACTAGAAAAGGAAAATTTTCAATTTTCAGGTAATTAAAAATTTATTATTAGAGCATTTAATATACGAAATTGGTTTATATTTTATTGGCTAGTGAAACTCCGCAGTTTAGGGAATTGTAATCGATTAAACTTTATTGGAGGATGTTTTAGTTATTCATTTTAT